TTTTTTTTTTCAGTTCTGTGAGGGAATCAGAGTGAAGCGGTGTATCTTAGTTTATATGGCTCGTGTATGCAACCTGGGATTTCGTAGATTCATTCTTAAGATTGAACTTGGGCTGACAATTAAACGAATCTGAATCACTTTGTTGATTATGTTTTCTATTTTATTTTATTTTTTCATATCCCCGACTTATTTTGTCTTGCAGCACTCAAAGAAACAGAACCAAGAAATCCAAATCAGGCTTCGCCAAACCCATCTCAAAAGCTACAAGAGCATGTTTTGTGCTTTAGTAATAAATCTTCCCAGACCAGTAAGGAGCTATCAAGCTCAGATGCAGACAGACAACTGATTGAACCATCACATCTTTACAAATTCGGACGAGAAAATAACTTGAATTGGAAAACCTCTGATATCGTTGTTAGTGAAAAGCAAGCTGGAGAAGCCACCGATATATCTAATTTTCAAAATCGCAATTTCGACCCGAAAATCTTACATGTTGCAAATGCTCTAGATCACATGCCTGGATGGACCGAATGCCAATCTACTGTCAATCACTCGAAAGTGGATCTTGCGCGTATGCTCGAGTCCATTAACAAAAAGCACGGGGATATTACTAGGGACTCTGTATTGGAGTCAGATTGCATGAAGACTTTTGTTTTACTCGGAATATGTAAAGTGATGCTCGACTTAGAAAAGAAACAGTTAAACGACATTGATGTTCGTGCCTTGGTTCCTTATTATACAGCCGTGTGGGATGCGGAGAACATGAAAGTGAACGTTCAGTGGCTGCACGAACGACTCGATGAAATTATGGTCGCTGTTAAATTAACCGATGAGGAGAAAGTTCTGGTGGATGAAAAGAAAGAACGTCTTGTGAATCTTGATATAAAGAAGGAAGAGCTCGAACTGCGTAAAGGTCAACTGGAGAGGCTTAGGTCCGATATTGATGATCTTGAAGCTCATGTGGCTCGAGAGGTTGTTATGGTAGAAGAGTTGAATCGAAAAATCGGTGCACGGCAATCGAGATGTTCGGAGTTTCAGCATGCGTACTTGATGGATGGGCTCGTTTAGATAAACCAAAAAAAAATGCTTTTGTTTCGATTACGAGTAACTTGCAGACATAGCATTTTGCAGGGACGTTTCTACAATCGTCGATAGTTATATGAGGCATTTTGCGATTTTTGCAGGGGCTGATATCTAATTTCATGAAAAATTTTGATGTATCCATCTCCCTGAAATAAAGATGGTTTTCAAGGTGGTAATATGCCAGTGTAAATAACTTTTGTAGTTCATGTAAATATGCCGTGCTTTTTGGGCTATATTAACCGATGAGCTTGGTAATTAGTGAATAGTATTGGTAGATTGGTAAGGTGTAAATTCTCTGGTAAATAAGTGTGGTATGTGGTAGGGAATAGCTTCGTGGTTGTTGGTTTTTTTTTTTTTTTTTTTTTTTTATATTTAATTACTTCATGATTATTGAAAGCGTTTACTATTATATCTATTAACAAATAAATTTATATAGATCATAAACATTTTTTTTCGAAGTTTTTTCAATACAAGGTTTGAAAGATAGGTGAACTATCAAATCGGGGTCTAAAAGATTTTTTTTCTTAATTCAGGATTTAAATGTTATAAAACTCTCAAATTAAGTCCTGAATTAACAAAAACCCATAACACAATTAAATTGAGGATTAAATTGAAGTTTTAAAACTCCAAATATGTTACAAAGTAAAAAAAAAAAATGAAGAAAATTAAAGAAAAATACGAGATTGTTGGAGAAAATTAAGGAAATTATGAAGCTCTTGCTCGGTTTCTTGCTATCGTCTATTCTTTTTTTTTTAAAAATATTATGGAAATATTTACTTATTATTCTATGTGAGTAAGCACCAATCTTGTCTTTTTTTTTTTAACTCTCAATTGTGTTATGAGTTTTGTTAATTATAGGACTTAATTTGATAGTTTTATAACATTTAAGTCTCAAATTGAGAAAAAAATCTTTCAAGCCTCGATTTGATAGTTTACCTATCTTTCGGGTCTTGTATTGAAAAAAACTCCATTTTTGAATTAATGATCTTACATTTTGCATGAGACATATGATCTAAATCTAGAGAAAAGATAAGAACTCATGTTTCATACATGAAATCTTTTTTAAGGAACACATATCGCGTGACACTACAAGAACGAAAACAAAACTACTTGGAGAAAAAAAAATGTGTAATCAAAGTATGCAAATTTCCAATTTCGGCTAGGTTTTTGGATTTCGGCTCGATTTGCTCACCTTAACTAGAGCTGCAAAGCGGTTAGAAATTTTCATAGCTACAGTGTGCGGTCATAAAAAATTTCATATTAGGTCAATACACGATGGTGCAGTCAATTTTTTTTTTACTGTTGGATCAACATATATAGATACATGTTGATTCAATAATCAACATAATTCCGTACAATCCTCTCTATATATAATTCCCGAATGTGTTGAGCCTAAATGGTAGGCTCTCATGCTTCGAAATCCTATGTTTCAAAATTTCATGTTATGTTATTTGGATTGGATAGATTTCAATTTAATTCCAATCCAAAATTTATTAGGTTCGAATTACCATAATATTGTTTTATTTATGATCATTTAGATGTATTAATTGTATTTTAATATCATTTTCTATTATAACCATTGAATTGTAAATATATTTTAAAAGTTGATAACTTTTGCATTTCTTATCGATTTTACATATGTAATGTATCAAATTAATCATATTTTGATGAATTTCGATTTAACATCCATATTGTATATATAAAATAAATAAATTATATTTATCTTTACAATAATAAAAAATATTTATTAAAATTAATTAAAAAATAAGAGTATTTATCAATTAATATATTCATGTTTAATGCAATTATATATTACTACCTCATATTCATTATAAATGTCGTTTTGAATTTTGTGATTCATCCATTTTGTTATGTATCTAGACATATTAATATCTAGATACATAACAAAATGGATGAATCAAAAAAGTCAAAACGACATTTATAATGAATATGATGGAGTATAATTTAGAAAATAAATAATATATATATATATAAAGTTTTTAAATTTTCAATTATTTTTTCTCATTAATTTTAAATTTTTAAAAAAAAATTTAACAAGTACTCGTTTAATATACGGGAGTTGCACTAGTTACTGTATATTTCACATCAACACATATACCTTCACTTCACTTCACAAGCTCAAAATCAATTTCATCTCCTTTGGTCTTTACTTTTTACCCAATCCTAGTCCCTCCTTTCCCCCAACTCCCCCAATTTCCCATTCTCTCCCTATTTCAGTGTCCAACAATCTAAATCTAGGGTTTCATTTTCCCTTTAACCCATTTTCCCCTGTTGTGGTCGAAGTGTAGTTTAACCAGCTGTTCGAATTTTGATGCTGAGAGTCTTGAGTGGTTAGGCCAAGATGTGATTCCTCTCCTACATTTTCAGACTAAACGCTGTGATTTTTTCTCCTGCCATTGTCTCGGGATTCAAGCTTTTCGAGTGTTCTGCTATCCTGTATTTTCAGGTTAAGAACAAAAGCTTTTTTTTTTTTTTTTTTTGCCCCCTCAATTCTTGAAATGCTAAAACCCTCGCTAAAGTTTGCATCTTTTCCTGTTGTACTGCTTTAATCCTGTATTTCTTTGGATGGTCAGGTTCGGATTTGCTTCAGAGTTGCTTATGATTGATATTTTCTTTACATAATGAATCTTTTTAGGTTGAAAATTCACTGAATCTTTACTGCAATTTCGCCAAGTGGTAAATGAATGGATGGGAGAGAAGGGATTAATGTACAAGGCTCATCTTCGTACTTCCTCAACAATAGAGATGGGTTTGGTGGTACCGGGCCTTTTGTCCGTGGCCCGGACGGGGGTTTACAGGTGTCGCATCCCATTTACAAGAATCTCTCTAACCACCCAAACATCTCATTGCACCCAAATGCAGGGATCACTGGGAATGATCCTGTGAGTGAGTCCTCAGCATTTCGTGTTGAGAACTCATCGCTTAATAATGATATAAGCAGTAGTAATAATAATAACAGTTACACTCAAGGAATGAGCATAGCTGTTGTGCCTGGTGGGTCCCATGGAGGTGTTGAGACGACGGAGAAGAAGAAGAGGGGTAGGCCCAGGAAGTATGGGCTTGAAGGGTCACCGAAAGTAACTTTGAAACTATCCTCTCCTGTTCCGAAAATGCCCTCGTCTAGTGATCCAAACACTTCTGGGGAAAAACCGAGAAAAGGGAGGCCGCCTGGAACTGGGTGGAAACAGAAACTTGCTCATCATGGTAAGTTGCTTTTGGTCGAAAAACGAATTCCTTCACGAACTTGTAAGTATTAAAAATTGTGACCACTAAGAATTTGTCCAGCTTGACCTTTCATTAAAATAAAGACAATGAAATCAAAGTCTTTATAGCCTATGCACGGGATTAGAGAAACTATATCATTGTTTTGAAAATATTTCTATAATTCTGGTAATTTTGTTTTGGATATATTACTACATTGTTATTGTAAGTATGAATCTTTGTTTGGTACATAAATGTATCTCTTACTTATCTCATGAATGTCATTGAATGAGCCACTCACTCATGTCTAAGTAGTTATAGTGATGTAATTATTTATTCTCGTCTTCATGTTTTTAGCACTCGGTTGAGAACAATCTGTTCTTTACTTTGTGGATATATATGTTCATTTTCAATAACTTGCCATAATAATTTTTGTAACATGTTTATTAAATCAGGCGATTGGATGAACAGCTCAGCCGGGCAGGCTTTTACACCCCATGTTCTTCATATAGGAGTTGGAGAGGTATGCCCTAACCAGCATCTCTGTAATTTATCACTATTGTGCCCTTAGTAAACTAAGCATTCAGTGCCATACCTCGACTTTAAATAGCTCCGATGCATTATTGAGATGATCTTGGTGGTATAAGATAAGTCTAGAAGCATTTATCAACCCCTAATTTGTTTCCATATATGGTTTGATTTTCTGGTTGGTTAAGTTTTTTTTTCCTCTATTTTGTTTATGTCAGGCCTGTATGATGATGTAATTTTTTAATCTGTCAATTTGTGTTAGTAATATTCATGATGATGCCAAAGTATTATTAAATTTAATTTCGGACAGGATATTGCGGCAAAAATATTGGCATTTGCACAACAGCGATCGAGAGCTTTATGCATAATATCGGGGAGTGGATCGGTTTCTTTGGTGACCCTAAAGCAACCTGAAACTCCTTCTAGCACTGTAACTTTTGAGGTTTGTTTTGTTTTATATGATGTATGTTATCATACATAGAAGTTCAATATATAACTTGACCGATTCAAAATTGGTTATATTGAAACCAGCTTCTGTAAGGGGTGTCGCGGACTTTGTTCAAAAGCTTTTGTGTGGCTACAATAATATTTTATGGCGCTAATTTTGTTTTATCGTGATCTTATTGGATCAATTTTGCGTGAAATGTGAGCTTTCAGATGATCTGGTTCGTTTTCAGCTCGAAGATCATGCATCTTTTGCTTATTATACTTTATCCTTGCATAGTACGGCCATAAATTAATGAGATTGTGTTTCTTCATGAGTTGAAAAGGTTCAATCAGTTAGCAATTATCAGTTCTACAGGCAGAAACAAATTAAACAAGTTTTAGTAATGTCTTGTACTGAGCTTAGTGGGGTATTTAAAAAAAAAGATCTAAAAAGTTTCAAGTACCCCCACAGTAGCTAATTTTTCTCGTTTTTCCTGATTTCAGGGTCGTTTTGAGATCCTTTGTTTGTCGGGTTCTTATTTGGTGGCTGGGAATGATGGTTCGAGCAACCGGGCTGGAGGTATAAGCATATCTTTGTGCAGTCCGAATGGCCATACGCTTGGGGGGGCAATAGGCGGCAAGCTTATTGCAGCCAATAATGTTCAGGTTTTCGCGCTTGATCAATCGTTTGCTTCTTGTTTATGAACACAAATCAACTTTTTATTTCAACGAATTTTTTTTTTTTTTCAACTACAATCAACTGAGTTCAGTTTTAACTAGGGAGCTCTTGTTTTGTGTGCAGTTTTTCATTTTTACCGTATATTTTTAATCCAGGTGGTGGGGTGCAGCTTTGTGTACGATGCTACGAAGGGAAAACTGAGACCCGAGTCCCAAACGGATGAACGGAAACTTCTAGAACAATCTTCGGAAAAACCGTACACCCCTTATAATGCTGCCACTGGCCAAAACACTAATTCAGGACCAGGTGATTGGCAGCTAAGCTCACAACGGGATGTGGAAAGCTCTCAAGAGGATTTTGACCTCTCTCGTGGATGATTATGGTAAAGATGAAAAGACGCGCTACAGTGCATGGCAAATTTTCTGTACATAATGTTATGAGAATGAGGAAAGAACACAAAATTGCACCAATGTTTAAGTTTGTGCTGGCATGTGCTTGCTATGGAACTCACCCGTAGGAAGATAGGCGAAAGCAGAGAAGTTTATGGTCACCGGAGGTTGAAAAAAAGTGTCATCGTTCTAAGTGTCTACTAGATGCAAGTGGTATTGTGTTCGTATAAATTGGTGAGATTTATTCGTATTTGAGTCGAGAATACTAGTAGGGCAGAGAACATAACACTGTATTATTAACTTGGAACTCTTGGTTTATGATAAGTGATATTCTTCACCATCCTTTCTTTAATTTGAATTACTCAGTTATGGTTTTGGGTAAGAAAGAAACTATATTTCCAATTTGGTTAAAGGGCGTTTTTCTTCACCTCATGCCTTCTCATTTTCATCATCAATAAAGTCCACATTTGTAAAGTTCACAAGTTTGGTTTTCTAGCTGTTATAACATGTTAAGCAAGATTTTGAAGATAAACCCTACATGACAAATAAGGACTAAAAGCACAAGCAACTATGGCATCACCAAACTCCGAGCCTTTAGCAATGATCGAAACCTTTGCAATATAAAGCATTCATAAAACACAAATGTATACAGTCGAAACGTTGCAATACAAAGCATTCATAATACAAATGTAAAAAGCTCCTCATTTGATCCAAGAAGTTATTATCGTTATTGAGTTATTCATACACTGCATCGCTTATTAACCTTTACTCCATGAATTTCTTCAGTTCTTTGCACCTTTCTCCAGCAATTTCTTGACGTCCTTCTGAAATGACATGAGAAATGCAGTGAGATTTATTACAACTAAAATCCTATAACAGATTGACATATGTTTTCAAACTACAAAAGATTTTTCATTACCTCTATGCTGAGAGGGGAAGTAGTCGGAGCATATCGGTCAACAACATGACCCTCTTGGTCAACAAGAAATTTAGAGAAGTTCCATTTGATGCTGTCCCCGAAGAGCCCACCTTTGACTGATTTCATATATTTGTATAGTGGAGCAGCATTTGAACCATTTACCTCAATCTAAATTGGTCAGGACAAGAGATTAATAATCTTTATTAGCAGATTGAAGGAAGACTTGTAAATTTTGAACATATTCTTTGTGTTGATACTAAGTTGAACACACATAGATAAATTTCGAACATATTCTTTGTGTTGATACTAAGTTGAACACAGATAGATCAAACTTCAAACCTTGCAAGTAAAATGAAGTTCATTTCCTCAATGAAATAAAATGGATCAAACAATCTTTACCTTATCGAATATGGGGTACTCGGCCTTGAAACGAGTACAAGCAAACTCTTGAATTTGTTCGTTTGTACCGGGCTCTTGTGAGCCAAACTGGTTGCATGGAAATGCCAATATCTCCAAACCTAAGCAAAAGAATCAAATTGAATTTCCAGAAAAATAGATCTGTAACGCTGTCACGCTCTAAACACCAATTTCGAGCCCACGATCGTAACTTTCATTTAAAGGATGTGCAGTTAAAAGACAGATTCCTTCGTCTTACAGAGTCTGATACCCTCACAGAAGTAAAATTTCCCAACTAACAAGGAGTCGAAAATCAGATTTTTGTTGACTCAAAATTGATTACAGATCGTATTGAATGAAAAGGGTACCAAACACCAACATAAACTGAGTAACAGCAAAACCAGATCAAACCTTGATCTTTGTACTTCTCATACAACTTAGTCAACTCGGTGTAATTTGAATTGGTCAGGCCACTGCAAGAAGCCATAAAATTACGATTCAATAATTTCTTCAAGCTTAGGACAGACAAGTATAATCAGAATAATTCAGCAAGTTAACCATAATGCAGCCAGGAATGGATATTGGAATGTTTGCAGAAAACAACTCTCAGCATAAAAAGAGAGCGATTATCAGGAATTTCAAAATGTCAGAAAACGTTCACTTTGCACATTAAACAACCATCAATTAGCTTAGCAGGCATTAGAGAGTCCAAACAACTGATGCATAAGATATGCTTCAATAGTTTATAAATACAATTCACAGACACCAAACACAGCTGGAGGAGGTTCTTTGTCCCACAAATAGTCTTTCTCTGATATAATGTCAAGAACACAAACATATATTTGATAATATACCCAAAAATCAGAAACAAGAAAAATCATCTTCACCGAATTTTGAATGAAATATCCTTTAATTGAGAATAGAATTCACACAGCACAGATGGTATATACAATTACAGACTAAGTGGCTACATACCATTGTGATGCGACATTGACAATTAGAAGGACTTTTCCCTTATATGTACTCAAATCGACATCATTCCCTTTGGCATCCTGCATTTACCAAGATAAGACATTTTCACAGTAAACATTGTCAAACTTGTTCCACCACAAATTAAATTACCAGCAATGACAACGTTTTAAACGAAAAGGACCAATTAGAATAAGTTACCCACGGGAGTATCTCGTATGTATGCAAGACTTGACATCATCACCAAAAAAAAAAAAAAACACTACTCTACTGCTCAATACAAAATAGAAGCTTCCAGCATTAGGCCATGCACAAGACATTTCCCCTAAATTTCAACCGAACTGTATTGAATCACGAAACAATACTCCAATGTCTATAAGTGATGCATTTCCTAGTGGCTCATTAATTAGTTTTATTTTTCCTCGACACAGGCAAGAATGACACACACTAGTCACCTTTCGGTCCAATAAAAAGCAATTTTCTGTAACTCTCTTCATGGAATTTCTGCAAAGGCTTACGTTGTGCCAAAGTTAGAGCTTTTGCAGAAACTAGTTATTGAATATAGATGATGCTCACAAGGCCAAGTAATATTTTCATGCAACACTCATAGGGCAGGCTAAATACGTCAGCCCTATATACGTATAGGGAAATGCTGCTGTGCCGTTACAGTACCATCCTGTCGGGTGTTTTAACCGTTGGATCATCTATCTTATATTAACTACATGTGCATCCAACGGTTAAAACACCCGACGGGATGATACCGTAATGGGACCATAGCATTTCCCATACTTATAAGACCAATCACAATCACCCAATGATAGCAAACACCAGTAACCAACATCATCCACACCAAAAGTCAAAAACAGAACTTCACCAATAATCCATAAATCAGAATCTACACCAACCATTTCTAGTGAAAAAAGTTCCTAAAAGAAACTGAGACTACAAATCCCCCAAAATCCTCAGAAAACCACCAAATCATTATCAGAAAACAAAAAGACACAAAATTACTCGTCCAGTTAAAAATTGGTGAAAAGGGTACACCTTAACAGTGAAACCATGCACAGATTGAGGCGAATCTGATTGGCTGGCCATCGTACGATCTGCTCTGAAGCTCGAAATCAAAGACTTCCTCGAAGAAACACAGGATGAAGGGCCGTACAGAAACCTAGCTTTAATGGGCTCAAAACGCGCAGATTCCGGCGGGGTAACTGGTGAATCGAGATGTGTTCTGATCGGTGATGGTACGGATGAGGTTCTTATATTTATCAGAATGCGAGATTTGAACAAGAACATGAATGAACAGAGATATATATAAAATAAAGGAAATAAATAAAGAGTAATCTTTATTACGGTAATGCTCCCCTATCCACGGTAGACACATATTAATATTAATACTCATTGGTGATGTTAATATGATCAAAAAATACATGATTAATGTATGCATATACATAAACGACGGACATATTAACATGTGCCTACCATAGATAAATGAGCATTACCGTACTTTATTATGGCCATGGGTCCAAATGTGAAATCAGATTTGAACGACGGCGCAAGATATGTGACGTTGCTAATGTACGCGTAACAGGCTGGATGCACGCCACGTTTTGACAATGCGGCCAATCAGTTTCAACGTGTAGACGATTTTTATTCTTCTAGTTTCTAGAAGTTTTGACTTTTGACGATTTTAAAATAGAAAAATACTACGATTCCGTTACGGCACAATTCCATCGAGAGTTTTAACCGTCGTATACACATATAACTAATATAATATAGATGATCTAACAGTTAAAACACCCGATGTCATAATTGGAGACCATAGTAATTTCATATGCGTCCTCGACAATCTATGGCATTGCACGTTGCCCGTGGGGTTTTTTTTTTT